GAAGCAGAGATAAGGGAGCGGTGGATTCGGCGAAAGGATGATTGTGTGTTGGGAGTTGCTGATTGTGTATACGTTCTGTCTCCTAGGACCATGGCTTGGGTAATTGCGAGGAGGCGTTTCGTGGTTCGGCGGATGCTGTGGTATGGTCGTTGTGAAGCAGATGTGGAGGATGTGTCGTCAGTTCGAACGGAAGGAGATCGTGGTGGTGTGGAGGATCGTCTTCGTAATGGTGGTCGACCAGGGCGACGTGTGGTTCCGCGGCGTGGATTGGACGTGGATGGAATGTTGAGGGCGTCAGAGGATGGAATTTCGCCGATTGGAGGTGTGTGGTGTGATACGCCAGAGGTGCGTGTGATGGAATTGGAGGATAATGGTCCGTGGCGTGGCATGGTGTTGGATGTTTGAGTGAATGTGGATAGGTATCGAGTTTGTTGGATTGGAAGGATTGCACTGTGGGGTTTGTATGAGGATGTAATGTGGGAATTGAATTCTTTGGGGTGATTTGTGGGAGATCACTCGAATTTGAAAGGTGAGCACTTGGAAATGAGGGCAATGATGTACTTATGCACTTGGACATGAAATTTCAGGGTCTTTTTAAACTTTGCCAGAAGTGTTCTTCACACACTTACTGGCCACCAGTTTTGTCAGAGACCCTTAGGTCAATGACGAAATAAACTTTCAATGAAATGAAAGAAATGCGCGATAGGCCGTTTGCGGCCGAGACTGAGTCTCCAGGAACTATGTTATTTCGCACTTGTTAATAAATTGATGTTTCACAGGTTTCACAAATCAATCACGAAAAAGATGAAGTTCTCGCAGCGGACGTTCGAGATGAAGTGAAGTTTCTTCCGCGGATTTCATCTTGGCTTCAGGAAGAAGGATCCGGTTTTTGAAGACTTGTTTGGAGTGTTGGCTAGGTGTGTTTTTAGATATTCGATTTCGGTGTTCGTGGCCTGTTGTGTGGCAAAGGTGTGTGGGTTCTATCGGGCGACCTCTAGGGGTCCCTGATAGGATCTAATTCAGTCATTCAGCCTCCATGAGGTGTTTAAGTTTGAAGCCCTTAAATAAATAAAAGTAACATCCCTTCGGTCGAAAAGAAGCTCCTTTTATAAAACCTTCGAACCTTGTGCTGAAGGTCCTTCCATTTGACCACATCTTTAAGACCTAAGCATACTGAATAAATAAGTTAGCGGGACACTGAACTTCAAAGCAAGGGTAAATTTGCACAGTCAACCAAACATCAGTTTAAAAATGACTTGAAGCAGTTAAAATTTTCTTGCTCTTCCAGCTCCTTGGTCCCTGAAATAAAAACAAAGATGCATAAAAAATTTCAGCAACAGTATAGAGCAGTGTTCCCCATCCCATGATCCGCGGACTGGCACCGGTCCACAGAATTATTTTGCCGGTCTGTGGTAAATTTGCAGCATAACACATGCATCAAAAGTAGGGATGAATTTATGTTATCTTTACAAATAATTTTGGAAGGACAATGGCAGTTGAAATCATCTGATGAAAAAAAAAATTGGCTTTTCTCTCAGCACGTCAGACAAATTTTCACCTGCTAAAATAAATACACGTAATTATTATTTTTTTTTTATTCTGAAGAACTTTACTTCAAGCCCACCTTTTTAATTTTTTTTGGATGACATTCAGCTATAGCTGCTTCATTCATTCCCAAACTCAATTTTGGCAAAAATCAGAAACTTTTGAATACCTGCCATAAAGTATTTCAAGCTAATATTTCGTGAGTCTGCAAAATTTGATTAAACTTAGAAAGTCTGAAGAAATTTATTTTGAGAATTTGCTGGTCCGCAAAAAATTTTATGGAAATTCTGCTGGTCCGCGGGTCCAAAAAAGTTGGGGAACACTGGGATGGAGGTTATATTATGTGGGTGGGGGCTTTGAGACAATTATTCTGTGTGTAGATTGCTCTGTTTAATGAGGAAAGCCAGACAAAAGACTAAACAAAAATTTGTCTTAGGAAGATTTGAATAAACGAGGTCCACATGTACCTGGGAAATGTATCTCGATGCAATTTTAATATTTAAAAATGAAGTGAAAGGGGCTTTTTTACAGCTGGATGAATTCCTTGAGTGAGCAAAGATTTGCTTCTTCTGAATGCTCAACCTGGACCCAACAAGGACCCAGCATTTCAGAAATTAATTATCCGAGTTAGCACAGTAGTAGAAATTAATTATCCGAGTTAGCACAGTAGTAGACATACTTCCAATCTACATGGAAGAAAAACGGCAATCGTTCGTCTGGAGAGTCGTTACAGCTTCTGACACCGGCATCAGGGTGGGGATCAAACCAGTGGATTTACGACACGCAGGGATTAGTTTAGTGATGTGCCTTATGCGTTACCCAGGTTTTGTGGGTGTGGGGGGAAAAAAAGAAGCGAGAAAGACAGGGTAAACAAGCAACAGGGCACAGCTTTTAGACAACTCCCATCACCTTCAGTCTATGCAGCACCAATCACGCAAAATTTGAAGGAACATTTTCTGGAAATCTTCCGATATTTTTGCTTTTCGAATTTTTAATAGCAAAAATAAGCGATGCTTCTTTGGAAGCAGGAGGCTCCGAATGATGGAGTACTTTTATCCTTTGAAAGGATTTACTCCTCTCATAATTTTTTAAATTACTGTAACTTCGAAACTGAGGCTTCTTGTGTAAGGCTAGAAAAATTGACAGAAAAAAAATGCAAAAAACCATTTAAAAAACGCTGAAATCATCTACCCATTAAAAAATACACTGAAATCATCTTCTGAACGTTTAGAAGGTATTGCAAGTAAAAACCAATGCTGAATTTTTTCCTACTGCGTGTGTATAGTATTTTAAAATAATTTTTAAATACCATATGCAAGATTATAAAACGAGAATATTTGGTTTTGCAATGGCTGTTGCAGGCTTCATCTCAAATTCTCGCTTTCATATACATCACGCAAATCAAACATTTAGTGGACCTGGAGAAGGAAGACCGAATTAAAAAAAACAAATATTGTATATTGGTTGGTTCAAGATTTCACAATGAAAAATGCTCAAATACAAAATTTCACATTTCTTTCATGTTATTCAATTTTAGTTCCATTGCCACGGCAAACAAACAAATTGGGGAATAATTTCTTTAGATAGAATGTTTTTTATGCTTTTGGTACAAAGGTTGAAGGTGTTCATGAGAGTTTTCCGTGCTATCTACGTACTTTTACAGAGTCCCAAAAACATAGGGAACTTGTGAGTACCGCATAATTGAACGCAATATTTCATGGCTTAGAATTTTTTTTTCTCGCTGTAAATCGTTCACCAAATATAAAGAAAATACCTCTGCCAATGAAAAAATTCGGGTTTGATATGCCCAAAAATTGAACCTGAAGCTGTAGATATGAAAAACATGATACCTTCCTTGCATCAACTGAGGATCTTTCTCTTCATAAGCAACAATCAATCCATATCAGTCGAATCCTTCGTAAATTAGTACGAAAAAATTAAACGCATAAAAAACACTGCGTCGATTCCAGAAATTATGCCCGAAAGAAAAGGCATCGACAGAATCGCGTAATAATCCTTCACCCACTCAAGCAAATCATTTTTTCTCGAACCATGAAAGCATCTCTTTGATTCCGATCCGTGATTTTAAAAAAACCAAGAATATTAAAAAAAAGGCTGAAATTAGCATAATGACTTCCGACGTCTCGGCAGAGCACGTCAATCACATTCGGTGATGTGGCAGGATTTCGCGGTCCAATAAGCCGCGCCCGGGTGACCTTGATCCATTCTGTTCCTCAAAGCCTAATTGACTCTCTGCTAATTGACGTGGGATGAAATAAAGTATGTGTTCTACTCAATAACGGGCCGCTTTGTTGTATTTTTCCCGGTCAAGGCCGGGGGTTTCGAAAAATCCGAGGCGGAAAAGAACGCCGTCATGTTTTCTGGGCGACCCGAAAGAAACGAAGTTTATTTCGTGTTGGGAAAATAGTATTGTAAATCATTTCAACTGATGATAACAATGACGACGTTGAAGGAACGAAAAAAAAACCGAGCTGCAAAAATTAATGCGATTGTTCGTTTCCGAGACGAATATAAAGACATGCGGAAAATTTCGTCATCACCAATCGAAATGATGTAAGTATTTCTGAACAATATTTTGAACAAAACACATACTCTGTTGTACCGTATTCCTAATATGCAAAGATTTCTTTCTTATACAGTACTTGAAATTCAATAAGTACAGTAATCGTCAATGATAAATCCAACGTTGCCATTAATATAATCGTTTTCTAGTTTGATTTTATGACATGATTAAGTAATTTTAATTTTTTTTTCTGAGCATGTTGGACTCATAATTATTCAAAATACTGTACTCTACATGAAAATACATTTTATTTCATGCAATGTTCATGAAATAAGTGGCAAGGCCTATAGATTGCAGGCAAAGCATAAATTTAAAAACATTCTTCAGAGAAATGGGACGAAAAAGCTCGGTTCTGTCGCAATCAGAAGTACCCATGGAATCTCATTTAAACTTATATACAGTAATCGATTACAACGAAGTCGTCTTTTAGGTCCCTGCACAATAGACGCAATGTTGAATGAGTTGCTTCAAAAATAATTTTTCGTTACAACGAAGCTATTTTGCTGGCCACAATCATGGCTTCGATGCAAAGAGATTTTCCCGTACTGCATAAAAGTCGTCCGATCTCCTTATTTTATTTTTCCTCGCTTCATACAGAAGGAACCTAGGGAAGAAAGAAGTGCAATTTTCCGGGCAACCGAAACGATTGTCAGCTCGGTCTTTTGCTCCATCTTTTAAACGAAACAGGCGCATCGGTTCCGCTCGGATCCGTTTCTCGGAAGCTGCACATGGCTTGTTAAGTGGGTGTTGGAGGGGGGGGGGGGGGGGGGGGGGGGGGGGGTAAGTGGGTATTTTATTAAACACGGGTAATCAGGCTNGGGGGGGTGGGGGGGGGGGGGGGGGGGGGGGGGGGCTCCTTGTTGGAGTCTCTGGCAAACGCCCAAGAAACCTTTCAACTCTACCAGATGGCAGCAGATAGATAGGCGATCGGAAGGCATTTTTTGTTGATGTTCAGATCAAGTGCGGATGCGTGTGGGATGGGTGTCGATTCCGATATCAAGAGTTTGATCTTTAAGAGCCTCTCTGATGATAAGCTATATAGGAAGGAGAAAAAAAAAGTGAGACCCGGAGATGCGGACGTAATTGGTGCATCGAAAGTGTCTCTAAGTTGAAATGTCTCTAAGTCGAGTCTCATTTTCCCTTAGACTTACATTACATAACTTTTAATTGGTGTTTTATGTACAAAATACTCACCATAATTCCATGAAAATAAAAATTGTCTCCCAATTTAAACTGATTCTAATCAATATATTTCAACACAATATGGAAATTTGGGGAATTGAATACTGAAACCTCTGTACAGTACATAGAAATGTTGACATTCTCTGTAAGAATAACATTCAAGTGAAAAAGAGAGAAGGAAGTCCTTGTACAGTATGCTGTAGATTTTTTTTTTAATTGGCTAAATGGATGGTAAACTGGTGAGAGAAATGCCCAAGAACTTTTCTTGTATCAATTTTAGGGTTGGAAATACCGTATCTGTTTCTTGTAATTTGGCCTGAAATGTATTTGCAATTTTATCACAAAATGTCCCTATGTCGAGTCAGTGTCCTCCTGTTGGGCCTTTTTATGAAATTTTTTTTAGAAAATACGTGTCCCTACGTCGAATTGTCCGCAGGTCGAGGTGTCCGCATGTGGGGTCTCACTCTCATGAATGGCACCATCCCTTTTAAGAACGTCAACAAAATTCTCGAGTGCATTAAAAAAAAAAATTTCTCGTTGCTGCTTTACACAATTTTCAAATATTTTCTTCGCCCCGTACAAAATGGGTTCAATTCACTTCAGGGACAAAATGTGCGTACTGTATACTCATTCGCTGATAATAATCGCATTGAAGAGCAGAAAAGAAGAATACCGCACAAAATATTTCCAGGGAGCTTCTAAGTTCAAAAACTCGGACAAAGAGGACTGTATTTTCCGTTAAAAAAAAAAAGAAACGAATACCTTTTACCTTCATCCTTTAAAAAGACAATCGACGTTCGGCGGAAGTCGATCAGCATAAAAGAAGAATCCACTTTCAGAAACGAACCCGACATAAAAGGACTGAAAATCCCATTACCCCCAATACGCACCGGCAACCTATACCAGGGATTTACAACTCTTTTTTTTTTTTTTTCAAAGTTTGTACCACTTTCAAGATGGGGGCAAGCATTCCCCCACCATCTCAAGGGTGTGCCACAAGGACAAGTACCAATCATGTACTGCCTTCCCTGTCTTCACAACTGCACCGTGAACTCGATTTACTGCCATGTTCTTAATTCGAGAAAAGAACCGAGTAAAAAATCCTTATTTCATGTCTGACGATTGACGTTCAAAAATAATTCTGATCAAGTCCTACTCTGAACAAAAATAATGAACAGTGAGAACCTGTAATTGGTGCATCACGAATGTCCTGATGTCGAAATGTCCCTAAATCGAGTCATTTTCCATTAGACTTCAAATGCTAATATATTTAATTGGTTCTCCATTTTGCCAAAAATTAAAAATAAATCCTCAAGACATGTAATAAAAATTATTTCCCTTAACTTCAAGCTGTAGAAAACAACAGTGCAGAACAAAACCACATAGAATCTGATCTTTTGGAATCAAAATGAGATCAAAAAGGAAAGAAAAATTATAAGTCTTGCTGGAGTATGCACAGGTAATGGAAGAAAATATGCACAAAATCAGCATGCTTTTGCTAATGAATTAGAGAGAATTCATTATGAAATATTTTTAAAATTTTTGTGAATTTGAATAGCTTTATTCCTTTAAATTTAAAAGATATCGAAATGAAAAAAGAAAACGTTCCGATTTTTTTGGGAAAATTTCAGAGAAGTGTCCCAGACTTGAGCTTATGTCCAGATGCTGGGCCTGAGTTTTTTGGTTTTCAAATGTCCCTAAGTCAAATTGCCCATAAATTGGGGTCTCAATGTATTCCAATTGATTCCCCAGCAACTCGGATAGCGACAACTGAAATGCTCAATGCCATTCAGAGGATGTAAAAGAACTACCTAAATAAATACCAACATCACTTCATCAGTTATCCCCAGAAATATTCATCATTTGACCAACTTTGCTTGAGTATCCTGTTATTTTTTTCCGTTTCAGAAGATCTTCAGACTTGAAGTGCTGTTAGTTTTATTTCTGGTATTTTTTCATACCATAAATTGTGGCATGCATTCAAGTAAATATAGCAGATAAATAAATGAATAAAAATGCAGCACTAAAAAAATGTGCGAGTTGTAACTATCCCAGTTGTCGCTATCCTGAGTTGTCCCAAAACCATTTTGATTTAAGGCTATTCAAGTAGGAGCACTTAATAATTTCCGGTCACACACACACACACATTTCTAAAAGGGGTTAAACAAGTATTCAAAGCTCAATTATGGCAGTTTTGAATGCTAGACGATTAAGTCAAATGTGGGCTAGTGCATAATGTCGGAGTAGGCATCAATTTTTGAAAATTATCCTTTTTTTATACCGAGTGTTTAAAATCAAATAAGGACGATCAATTCAAATATAATGAGTGCCAATTTCCAGGCAAAAATCGATTCGTAAAACTCATTTCTCCCAGTGTATTTTAAGCCAAATGGGGACACTTCAGATTTTTAAATTACGGTAATTCCGAAAGATTTTCTGGATTATTTTATTCGCTTCCATTTACAGTACTCCATTTGAAACAAAACCAAAAAACCCACAAATTCGCTATCTGCATGGTCGAAATAAAATAATGCTCCAAAATCACCAGCGTTTATAAAGTGGAATTAAAGGTCCATAAAACTACAGTACAGTACTGTATTTCAAAATTTAACTTCTAAAAGTACACAATTTTCAAGCTGATGACCTAATGAAATCACCCCTTTAAATACATTCGAATGGTAGTCTTCACCTTTGTTAATAAGCAAGATTATATGAACGTCGAGCTTGATTTTTCATGATTGCGAACGGGATTTCTAATATTAATCGAAACGGGTTGCAATAATAAATAAATAAAAATGACAGCCGTTA